TTAAAATTCAATTTTAGACAATTCTCATACATTCGAGTTTTGCTTTAGTTGAGTATAATCTTTTGGAATAATTCGAGGGGTGCCATTTAGCGAATTTCCATGGCCCTCGCAAATATGCAAGCGCGTAGTTGCTTTTAGGCGTGTTATTTAATAATCTACTTTCCTAAACTCGGGTGCACATTTATGTGACCCAAATCCAAATCTCAACGAAGTCGGAATGTGTCAACAGCCACGGGTGCATTTATGTGACGTGGTTCGAGACACGTTCTCACGACGTTGCAATTCTCGTTAAAAATAATAATAAAAGCGGTTTAAGATTATAAAGCACATAAGCTAAAACATGTTTTGAAATCAGATAAATATTCCAAATATAACAGTTGAGCGACCGTGCTAGAACCACGGAACTCGGGAATGCCTAACACCTTCTCCGGGGTTAACAGAATTCCTTACTCGGATTTCTGGTTCGCGGACTGTTAAACAGAGTTATTGTTTCCTCGATTCGGGATTCAACCGGTGACTTGGGACACCATAAATCTCCCAAGTGGCGACTCTGAATCTTTTAAATAAATCCCGTTTCGATTGTCACTTCAAGTTGGAAAAACTCCTTTACGCTCTCACAGGTGTAGGAAAAAGGAGGTGTGACATTGGTTATGACTTTTGATATTGTAGTTTTACATACTATTATGAATAGCTAATTTGTTATCTAAGGTTTTGGTGAAATCCGTTGGGGATGAATTGGTTGTTATATTAATATAGTTTTGAGTTGGTTGTTAATCTCTATTTGTTCAACTACGTTTTGATTTTGGTTAATTGAAAGGATCATCAGTTAGCCGTTCCTATTTATTATGTATCTGCTTGAGAGAGAGTGCATATTTAGGTAGTTGTTTGAACAACATCACTCCCGGAGTATAGGCGAGAGTCATAACCGAGGGTTTAGAGGTTGGATTAGAGATAACGATACCTCGGGTGCGATCTAAGTAAACTGTAATGCGAATCGAGCTAGCGTAGCTTGAGAGAGTGCGTCTAGTAAATTATCATAATTGCTTGAGAGAGATTTATGATAGCTGGAGAGTTCATGATTGATAGAGACAACTAATTCGAAGCTATAAGAAACATATAACTAAGGAAATCAACAACGGGGGAAACCATTACCCTAGACCTTTATTCCAATTGTTTACAATTCAAGCATAGTTAGTTTTCAGCTGTTTATTTATTTTCAATCTTGTCTTCTTGGTGATATTAAACAGATACAGCTAAGCCTTAGTTCTCTGTGGGATTCGACTCCGGACTTTTAGACCGGATTATATTTGCAGCGACCGCTTATCCTTTTTAGGACTAGAGTTGGGCGTGATCACTACTTTCATTTCTCGATTCCAAATTGTGTAATTGTCCATTCCAGTTAACAATAGACCCACCGTCATCGATCCTGGTCCATCAGACGGATGGAGATATAATGGATGATTATGATTGAGAATTACTGCTCCGCCACCGGTCACACCTGTTCCGTCATCTGTGCTGCTCGATTCATCATCAATTGCCATGGAATTTGCACAAACAAAATCAATTAGGGTTTACAGAAAAAATCGCAGAAACAAAGTCAAAACCACAGAAACAGAGTCGATTCTCTCGATTTCCTCTTTAATTGCACGAAGATATCTCTAGAATTACTCGATTGATGGCTCTGATACCATGTTGAATCTATGAATTGCAGAAACAGAAATGAGAAGAAGAGAAGAAGAGAAGAGCGATTGAGAAATTTTCACTGTTTCATTAAGCTGCTAATTACACTGTTACACGTATATGTAGTTGCTCCACTAACTGATACAACTAACTGACAGCTGTACAACTAACTTTAAGTGACTAACTAAAGTTAACTTAACTAACTATGATTAAGTAATACTATCCCTTACAAATAGCTCCACTAATTAAAGGGATCATTGAGTATATCCACGCAATATACTCACGAAAACGTAAAACTTGTAATTACTGTGAATATGATATCAGAATTAATCGAAAATTTGATCTAACTTATGCAAGGTAAATGGAATTTTAACTTGGTTTTGTGATGGCTAAAACGAAAAAAAATGAGGGTTACAAGATGCTCTTTATCATTTATCAAGTTGCTCTTTCATCCTCTTTTTAAATTCGTTATTGTAATTAGTATTTGTTCTTGAGCTTCTGAACAATATCTATGATAATTTTATTTTGCGAAATACTATAAAAGTCAACGAATATGCTTTCCCTTTGAGCATATCTGCAAAAAGATGACAATATTGAAAAAGAGCTCTATATTGTAGGTTTAATAGTGGAAATTCTTTTATTGCACATTATATACTTTTATGAGCATTCTAAATTCTGAAAAAGCTAGGTTATTCTGATAATTTTAGTTTGTTTTTTCCCTTTAAATTTGCAATTGAATAGTTATACATTGCATCCTTAAGAACAAAAGAAAATGACTTACTTTAATGCCCGAGTACAAGCGCAAAAGGCGTGTTAATGAGTTCAATTAATATGTACTAAATAATTTTTACACTATTAGGTCTGTAACCGTGCATCTTCAATGGTAGCAACAACAACAAACAACAACAATAACCCAGTAAAATTCCAGTAGTGGGGTCTGGGGAGGGTAGTGTGTACGCAGACCTTACCCCTACCCGAAGGAGTAGAGAGGCATCTTCAATGGTAGCGGTATTCAAAATTTAGGGACTAGATAGGTGCTTAAATGTGTGTAGGCAACAGGCATAACCCCATCATCTTCTAAGAAAACATCATAGGCAGTCGAAATACTACTCGTTCAAAGTTTGAACACGAAGTAACTGATCTTAAGTTGAAGAGAAATGGATATAGAATCCCAAAATGGCAGAAGGTGGTTTGCTTAATGTGGATGCATGATCTCGCAAGACAAGAGTGTAGAATGTATATATCTTCTCAAAAAGTTAATAACTTGATGTCATGATGTGTTCAGTACAGTCGTCAAATGCTTTTTTGGAAATATTATTGGCTTCAATCTAGCTCAATATTGTAATGAAAGATCCATATATATATATATATATATATATAATTATTTCTGCTATGTTGTTCTTGGTTGGTGCTTTATCACTATTTTGATTTGACAGATAATAAAGCGTGTTGGTATGATACAAGATTTATTCTTCTGAATGGTGGAAAAAAACTTTTCTCAAGAGGCTTTCTACATCTTTAAGAGACTGGAAATGGTAGACATCCACATGCATGATCGCTTCTCATCTTGTGTGATGTTAATAAGCTTGTCTGGATGAGGTAAGTTTGTTAGTAAGAGCTATTTTTTCCTTGAATAAAACAAGAATACTGTCTAAATAGGAGAAACTCCAAGTTTGAAGCCCCAATAGAGAAATAATAGAGAGTATAGATCGATCAGGCATATCTCAAGTTCTAATTGTTGAAATAAAAGGTAAAAAGAATACAGACTTACATTCTTTTGAAGTTCTTAGAGCTCCAAAGTACTTCTTTCTGAGGCTCAACACGAGCTGATTTTGCTTCAAGTGTAGGGTCACCCATTTATCTTCTTTGCGTCCTGTGGTTTCACATCTCAAAATATCATGTATAGGTTGCTGCTGTTGCTGTTACTGCAATAGTATGGAAAGCTTTACAGGTTGCTGCTGTTGCTGTTACTGCAATCATATCCATTGGTGTTCTGATGGCTAGGCCAGAATTGACTGCAGAAGCAACTTTGGCTCGTCCTGCTCCCAGAGATTCTGCTGCCTCAGCACATACTGTAGTCATCAGAGCAGCAGCAGAAGCAACTACACTTCCCGTACTATGGCTCCATTCTCCTGCCGTCTCAGAATTTATGTGGTACCATTCTTGTTCTTCTGAGCTGCTGCTGCTGGCAAAGCCAGCAATCGTGTAAGCAAGCTGTGTGAGAGAAAGCACAGCATGTAATTTTGCTGTTTGAAGTCGGAGTCTCTCTTTCTTCTCTTGATGTGATCTAAAGAACCTGCCTAATGGCTTCCTTTTCAACCATTCCTTCATGTGATGCAAATCGAGCTAAGCAACCATTAATAGATAAATGAGAGATGGAGCTGATTTTTCATGTCCAAATAAGAGGTGAACATCACTAAAAGTGACATACTTGAAGTCTACAGCTATGAGAATAGTGACGTGCCTTGGCTTCAACTTTTGTCCATGAACATGTTAATCATAAATATTTTACAACTTACGCATCATTAGCTAGGATTGTGAGTCCTTTAGTGTTATCAATTTCCTTTATTGTGCTATTTACCTTTTCTCGTTCTCTCTATCCTTTTCTGTCAGGGTGAATGCTTCCTATCCCACTTCCTGGTAATTATCATTTTTTCTTTTCTCTTGCTATTTCCTTTTTTTTTTTAGGGGGGGGGGGGGTGGAAGTGGTGGGCCTGGGGGTGGTCAGTGGGAGTTGGTGGAAGATTGAAATACCTTGATATCCTCTTTGTTGGTTATAGCTCGGCTGGTTATATCCTCCTGTGTCTCCTCCTCTTTTCCTTCAGGATCCTCTTTGCCTCCGTTGTCTCTCAGAAGGAAATTCTGTAGAAGTCAAGATGTAATGTTAAGTAGGCTGCCTTGTGCTCTTGTTATCGATTTATTTCCTAATTTTCAACGAAGTATAGTTTTGTATGCTTAACAACGGCCTATTAATAGATAAAAGAGGACATCTAAACACTGTGATGCGTATTGTGTCAAAACATATTGGTTTGTTTCAATGCTGCTATGCACTATTGCATATTATAAATGAACTTGGCCTATGATTAGCAATCTGATCTCATTCTATGATCTTTAATTCATCTGTGATTGCAGAGTGGTGGTTTCTCACATTTGATGAAAACATTTGGAGGAGATTAGTAGAAGATGGGCTCCATGATCGACACAAGAACTCCATAGCATAAGTAGGGCTCCCAGGTATCTCTGGTGATTGACTATAAGAGCTGAAAGGGCTTCTGCTTGGCTCCAAACAGCTTCTAGCGCTTGTCCAAAGTATGTTCTTCGACTTCTCATTCTTAAAAGCAAGGAAGAGAATTTCTGTAGGCTGTCAACGTTTCTGCATGCACCCAATTTCAAGTACATAGGGACAACTTACATTGTAGTACAGTGAACTGCGCTGGGCCATGAATTGAATCTCCTTTTTACTTGCAGCTGCTAAGGTAAGAAGTTTTCAGCAGTTATTAACAATGTGACCTGTAGATATAAAGCAGAAGCAAATGGTGAGCAACCCCTGCAATCACAATTGAGGTCCAGGATTTAAACTTTATGAGTTCAGCTGAACCTGTACCTATTATGACACATCCGCCTCCGCATGTGGGATGGAATAGAGGGAAAAAAATGTTCTTAGATAAATTCTGGTGTCAGATGGCCAGATGGGATACTAAGTGGTAGAATGTTGTCAAACTTGGAGGCAAGAAACACTTGAATGCTAAACAAAAATGGCATTTAGGACCACAGTATGACTTTCGCATTATCAGTTTTAGTTGATGATTAATCACGAGATCTGCCTGTATTTGTCTAAGACTAATATCTCTATATCTTGTATCTATGTACTTACTTGAAGTTGTACAGTAGATTATTGGAGTTTGTAGACAACTACTACTTTTGATTCTTGGAATGCTGGTATCACATGGCTACATGTTTTCAAACCAAGTTTATAGATGTACACTGAACCACTTGTTAGTTGTTACTAACCAGAAAATGACAGTGATCTCTGTTTTATTCATGGCAGAAAATAAGTTTTCGCCACATGAGTGACAGCATTGTGTAAGAGTTCGTTCATAGCTCCCGGGGTAATAAATGATAGCGTAAACTGTAAAAGTATTGGCAAAATAAAGAAGCTGCTACTACAGGTTTTAAAAGCAGACTCAAAAATTCTTCTGAGAAAAAGAAGGAACATGTTAATAATAAAACGAACACAAGGAGACTGAACAAAGAAGCTGGAGGTTAATAATTCACATGAAAGTTACACATAAATATTATGTATGAAGGTAATTTCTTTCTCATCCTTTTTTGGTGTTTAAAATCACGACGACATTTAATAAAGAGGAAGATTAGACTGGAAACTTCAACCACTTGGTAAATTACTTAATATTTCATGCAAGTCATTCTCAAAGAATTTTCTAGGGATGCACTCTGCATATTATGACAAAGGTCATATTATCCAGCTAATGTTCTTTAAAAAACTTCGATGCTTTACAGCTTCAGCGGAAACAAGTACAATACTTAATGTACAGAAAGATACATATAATCTTTTGGGTAAGGAAATCTTTTTCTCTTGGATTCACAGCTCCTACAGGCTCTGAAAACATGCTGCAGAACAGAAACCAATTCCTTGACGACTACGCAAAATTAATACAGTATATAATCATCTCAAAACATCTTCAACTTCATAAGAATAGTTTTCATTCCAAGCCTGAACCTAGTTTCTGGTTGATAACATCTTCTTTACTGGCAGTAGAGCAATAAAGCACTGTGACACTGGACAGCAGAAAGAAGATCCCCTCAACCTAAAAGCAGGAACAGTTACATAACCTGCCTCAAAGAGTATCTGCCTCTTTTCTATCAGCTGCATTCCTTAAATTTTGCCTTCTCACTGAGCTCTTGAAATGCATTTACAAGATTCTGAAGCCTTGCAACAAACTCGATCAGCAAGGAAGTAAATGTTGCCAGTGACAATGTACTAGCACTTTCAAATGTCCGCACTTCACGTTCGTTCAAAATCACATCCCCAAGAACTGAAAGCCGTGAAGGCCACATTGTCTGCTGCTTGAACACATCTTCTGAGGAACCCCATTGTGAAGTAGAAAAGTTGACGCTTACATTTGGATTAAGAGTATCCGTGTGCTTCAATGTGTGAGCAGACCTTAGATGAAGAGTTGCTTCACTAAGAGAGTTTATTAGCATGGGTTTAGGTTCATTGTCCTTCAGTTCTTGAATGCGTTCAGGATCTTCAAACTTCTTAGGTCTTTTTGAACTTTCCCAATTCTCTGCATTAACCAAAAGATAAGATTTCTGGTCAATCAACAGTTGAAGATTCTCAGCAGCCTCATGAACTTCATCGAGAGGATCTCCAGGGCTTAGTTTCTCCATCTTTTCTACTTTCTCCCCAAGCAGCCGTATCACTTTAGCTCCTTCAGTCCCAACTCTCTGAATCTGCTTCCTAAAAATCTGCCTCAACTCAGATGCTGCCTACAAGAAGAAAATTTGCATGAAGTGGCGGCCACTCAACCCCTAAAGCATAAATTCTTATTCTTTTTGATTTAGTAATCAAGGACAGTATCTTAACAAGTGCAAACAGGCAATAATAGCTCCAAGATCTGTTTCCCCTCGTATATTTTATGCTGCTATCTGTCCCTGATTAGTAGGCAAGGATTCTTGTATTTTTAGTGTATTAAGAGGAAAAGATATTTCAATATATATAAACATACATGGTATGTCTATTAAGTAAATAACCTAGAAATTGTATTTACAAATAACTTCAATTTCATATCTTTGAAGAAACATTTTATTTGTCTGAAGTAACATTAAATAATGCAAAACTTGGGAGCTTCATCATTGAACTGATCGCCAAATATAATCCGATTGTGAAATGATGTATGTTTGGACAAAACTCCTTCAAGACCAGAGCACTTGCTGAACTGCCATCATATGCTAGATGAAAATTTTGTGTCAAGTTACTTATGTTAAAGCTGACATTAATAGGTTTTGTGTACAAATGCTTCTTTAGAAATTGCCTTCAAACTGTTTCGGTAGCAAAAGGATGACACTAATGGAAAAAAAATCATCTCAACATTTTTAGGATAGGTTATTTGCCAAAAGAAAAATTGCGTAAGCAATAAAAGAAGGGAAAGTTACAGCCAAATCGAAGGGTACTAGGGCACGAGATGTAGTCGGGTTTAAACTATGGTACTCAGGAAGCGCTGGGGGTAGGAATGGGGTAGGTATTTTAGTTGACAGGGACCTCAAGGAGCTCGTGGTCGAGGTTAGGAGGGTAAAATGATAGGTTGATGAGTATTAAGCTGGTAGTTGGTGGGTTTACTGTAAACGTGATTAGTGCATACGCTCCTCAGGTAGGTTTGGACCAGGAGGTCAAGAAGCAATTCTGGGAGGACTTGGACGAGATGGTGCGTAGTATCCCGCACACAGAGAAGTTGTTCATTGGCGGAGATTTCAATGACCATATTAGGGCTAGTGCTAGGGGTTATGATGATGTGCATGGCGGGTTTGGTTTTGGGGATAGGAATGAGGGAGGTAATTCACTGTTGGATTTTGCTAGAGCTTTTGATTTGGTTATAGCTAACTCGAGTTTTCCGAAGAGGGAAGAGCACCTGGTCACTTTCCGGAATTCAATGGGCAAGACTCAGATTGATTATCTTCTCTGTAGGAAATGCGATAAAGGTCTGTGCACTGACTGCAAGGTCATCCCAAGTGAGCACCTCACGACCCTACATAGGCTCCTAGTTATGGACCCGGAAATCAAGAGGAGTAGGAGGAAGAGGGTGGGGTGCAGGCAACCTAAGATCAAGTGGGGTAACTTGACCAAGGATAAAGCTCAGGAGTTAGGGGAGAAGTTGTTGGCTATGAGGGCCTGGATGAGTAGGGGGGACGCGTCTAGTATTGGTTCACGACTGCGGATTGCATTAGGGTAGCTGCTAGAGAGGTCTTAGGGGTCATGAAGGGCTCTCCTGAGGGTCATAAAGGGGACTGGTGGTGGAATGGAGAGGTTCAAGGTAAAGTGGAAGCTAAGAAAGCTGCTTATTTGAAGCTAGTGGAGAATACAAACGAGGAGGATAAAAGGACTTATCAGGAGTGTTACAGAAAGGCAAAGAAAGAGGCGAAGTTAGCAGTTACGACGGCTAAGAATGCGGCGTTCGCTCGTTTGTATGAGGAGCTCGAGGGCAGAGGCGGGGACAAGAAGTTGTACCGGTTGGCCAAGTTGAGGGAGAGGAAAGCCCACGACTTAGACCAAGTCAAGCGCATCAAGGACGAGGATGGCAAAGTGTTGATGGACGAGGCACTTATTAGGAGAAGATGGCAGACAGACTTCCATAAACCGTTGAACGAGGAGGGGGATAGATGCATTGCGCTGGGTGAGTTGGAGCACTCCGAGAGTCGGCGGGATTTTGGGTACTGTAGGCGGATTACGGTAGAGAAGGTGGAAGGGACGATGCATAAGATGTGCAGGGGCAGAGCGACTGGGCCAGACGAAATTCCGGTGGAATTCTGGAAGAGCGCGGGGCGGGCAGGTTTGGAGTGGCTCACTGGGCTGTTTAATGTTATTTTTAAGACAAAGAAGATGCCCGAAGAATGGAGGTGGAGTACGATGGTTCCGCTTTACAAGAACAAGGGTGATATCCCAAAATGAAATGGCATTGGAGGTATAATTTGTAGGACCCTGGTTTGTGGAAATCAGTGATTAATGCTAAACATGGTGTGAGGAACAACTGGCGCACAAGACATAGCAGATCACCTCATGGTACAGGCCTATGGAAACACATATCCAGTTTATGGGATGAGTTCCAACTTAACTCAAAACTCAAGTTAGGAAGTGGAACACTCATCAAGTTTTGGAAAGACAAGTGGTTGGGAACAATGGCACTAAAAGATGAATTTCCAAATTTGTACCTACTGGCAGTAGATCAAGAATCCACTGTAGAACAATGTTGGCAGAACAGCTCTTGGGACCCTCAATTCAGGAGACATTTTCAAGATTGGGAGATAAATGACCTAATGGAATTGCTGGCCAAACTAGCACAGACTGCTGTCAAACCCCAGCTGAAGGACAAATTGGAATGGGGGGACGGGAAATTTACAGTGAAGAAAGCATATGCACGCCTATGCTCCAACAATGATCTGATAAACAATTGGCCATGGAAACTAATTTGGAGAACAAAACTACCTCCTAAAGTGATTTGTTTCAGTTGGGTTGCCTTAAATGAAGCATGCCTCACACAAGACAACCTCAGCAGAAGGAGTATACCAATGGTGAGTAGGTGCTACATGTGCAATTTGGATTCTGAAAGTGTTAGACATCTCTTTTTGCATTGTACTTTAGCATGTGATATTTGGAACATGTTCCTCTCTATTTTTGGACTAGGCTGGGTCAAGCCTAACAGCACCAAG